ATTAACACATAAAGATTAACTCTATTTCCTTATTTGTCATAATACCTAATTGAAATAATTGTTTATGGTTACGAAAACTTAGAAAAGTGTGTGTGTGTGTGTGTGTGTGTGTGTGTGTGTGTGTGTGTGTGTGTGTGTGTGTGAGTGTATGTATGTAGGTGTATGTGTATTTTACACGACAACCTCTAAAAGACTTTCTGTTTTTGCATAGGTTTGCTTAAGGAGCCACTTGAGAATAATGTTTTTGCACTCATATTGATTTCGAGAAAAGAGGGATAAGGTTTTATGCAATTTATTATATAAATGGGGGCCAAGGAATATGAAGAATCTGTGACTAAATGCAGTTTTAACTTGAGTAGACTTTGCAGCTAGTTGGTTACGTCGTGTCCATTCAGGGATATATTTGCTTGAGGCATGTTTTTTGAGAGCAGTGGTTAAAATGAATAATTGTCCAACTGTTAGTACTTAACAATAGTCGTAAAGTTGGTCTCTAGGAAACATATGCGGTATAAAACAACATACTTTTAAAACAGCTCTCTGTGCCCGTTCAAGTTGTATAAAATTATTTTTAGCCACACCGCCCCACGTGGATATTCAATAAGATAAAATAGATTGACACAATGCCATATAAACCATCTGCATGATTTCTGAATCTGCAGATTGACGTAATTGTTTAAAAATGTAGATAAGTTTACTCTGTTTGACAGGTGTTCAATGTAAGCTTTAAATGTGAGTTATCAATTATAATTCCAAGATATTTTATAGATGTCACCTTTTTATATAGTGTAGGTCATTATTGGCTGTACTATTTTTTATATCAAGGGGAGGCTTAACAGCGATTTGTAATGAGTTTGTTGTTGAATTTTTTTTTGTTTTGAATAGAAAAGTCTATTAATTTTGTTTTATCTATGTTCAACGTAAGTAAATGCGCGTTTAACCATTTCTTTACAATGTCAAATCCTTTTTGAGCAAGGGAATGGGTTTCAGTCCAAGTATTCGAATGAAACACAAGTAAAGTGTCATCTGCGTAGGAAAAGATCATCCCGTTTAAAAGATTGATGTTACACAAGTCATTTATATATACTAAAAACAAACTTGAGCCTGGAATACTTCCCTGCGGTACACCGTATGTAATTTGCAGGTCAGAACTACTATAAGGACCAATCCTAATACATTGAGTTCTATTACTTAAATAACTTTGGAATAAAGATAACTGAATTCCTCTTACTCCTAAAGACTCTTTCTAATTTGTCTGTCAGTGATTTTCCTATATTTGAAAAATATGTGTTTATATCCTCAACAGATTTTTGAGTATTTATTTCGTTGATGTCTAGGAGATCAGACGCCGTTGATTGCTGTTTAGATAAATTTGTAACAGTTTGAATGACTTTCCACAGTTGTTTGGGACAACGTAATTATATAATACCTGGGATTTTTGTTCTATTTTGTGATTAGACGTTGAACGATCAGTATATTTACGGGATTTATAAATATTTTACTTATTTACCTTTTAAAATATTAAATAAAATATCCTTAAAATGTAATTCTGACATAATATTATATTGAATTAGCATATATGCAAAATAAAAAACAATTCAAAAACTTGTACTTGATATTACTAACAATGCAAATTAAATTAACAATTATTACATACTAACCATTCTACCTACGTATAATCTATGATGATAAAAACTGGCCGTGCAGGCGCGATGCGTATTTATAGTATAACGTTTATACGTAGACAGAGAAACCTATAGACTAATGATTAGCGTGGCCTCGAGTGAGAAAGGACGATAACGTAGTTTTAGGTTATACAATAATCTTTATGACTCTTTAAGAACTGAACTGAACAAAATTCACCAATCTTAAGCTCACAAAACACTTTTTTCTCACTTAAATCAACCTGTAAACTCCTTAAATCACTACGCTGTTAAAGTTGTTTAGCAAACTGTAGAGTTTGCTAAACAAAAAAAACCGGCACGGAGAAAGGGACAAACAATCACACCGCTCTATCTCATTTCTATGCAAGACGTATGCATAAATCTATCTCTTTCGTGTGCGAATGCGAAAGAAGGCGTCAATTTGTCTATAGGTTTCTCTGTCTACGATCGTACTTGTATATATATAGAGGTCAGTGGTATGTAGCGATCGTTCTCCTGTTCTCTAATCTCCATGGTTTATATCGACATAGAGTACCGCACAGTTTTTGTTGGAATAGCGCACAAACTATTAAGAGTATAGCCTCTCTAGTACATTGTACATAATTCGTTTAAGTACATAAACGGACAATGTCTTATTGAGTTCAATGACGGAAACAAGTAGTGTTATACAGTGTTATATACTCTTTGGGTTTTGGGATTGCTTGACCTAGAACCACAGAGTACTTTTTTATATATCATCTCTAGTATATACACAGTAATCTATGATAGGAACCTGGAACTCGTAGACTGGGAGTTTTGGCGGGAACTTGGCCGTAGACGGATTGTCGCTCCTGTTATGTCGCGACTTGAAGTGGATTTTGATTCGTAAAAGTGATGTGATTTTGTGAATTAAGTGTCCCCGCGTGTGAACTATAAGAGAAAACGACGAAACAAGTGCTTTGATGTCGATATAAACCTCAAGTTCTTTTGATCGCTTGGGCGCCTTATGAACTTGAATGGCTGTTGTCATCAACTGTCCGCTATGTTGAGCTCTCGTCAAAATCTCCCAAGGGCTTCGCAATGTGACGCATCAGCATATGTGAAGAAAAAGAACATAAAATGAAAATTCGAAAAGAAAGGATAGGCTCAGATGGTCTAGAAACCAGAGCCGTAAAGCCAGTTAATAAAGAAAAAAAACTCGTAGACTAGTATATACTATAAATATATATATATAAAAATAAATATATATAAATGTATATATATATATATATATATATATATATATATATATATATCGTAGACAGAGAAACCTATAGACTAATGATTAGCGTGGCCTCGAGTGAGAAATGACGATAACGTAGTTTTAGCTTATACAATAATCTTTATGACTTTTAAACATATTTAGATAAAAATTTTAATTGTTCTAAGAATGAACTGAACAAAGATTCACCAACCTTAAGCTAACACAACACTTTTTTCTCACTTAAACCTACTTTTAAACTCCTTAGATCGCTTCGAACTGTCAAAGTTGTTTAGCAAAGTGTAGTTTGCTAAATAAAAAACCGGCATGGAGAAAGGGACAAACAATCATACCGCTCTATCTCATTTCTATGCACGACGTATGCATAAATCTATCTTTTTCGTGTGCGAATGCTAGAGCGGTGTGATTGTTTGTCCCATTCTCCGTGCCGGTTTTTTTTGCTTAGCAAACTCTACAGTTTGCTAAACAACTTTTACAGCGTAGCGATTTAAGGAGTTTACAAGTTGGTTTAAATGAGAAAAAAAGTGTTTTGTGAGCTTAAGATTGGTGAATCTTGTTCAGTTCAGTTCTATGAACAATTAAAATTTTTATTTAATTGTGTTTAAAAGTCTTTCTCACTCGAGACCACGCCGGTCATTAGTCTATAGGTTTCTCTGTCTACGGTAGAAGTCATAGATAAATAAATATGTAGCAAGGACTAGAGAAACCAGTGTTGCCATATATACAGATTTCCCCGTACTTATACAGATTTTCGATGTGTGATACAGATTAGCACTGGGTACAGATTTTTATACAGAGTTTTCTAACTCTATTGATTGGATTACCATAATATTCAACTTAAAATAGAATGAAGCAAAATAAGTGACTAGATACCGCGTTACACACATTCATGTTTCTATTCTTTATGGTTAATTTATTTTTTCACAACGTAATTAGTTAGTATGGCAGAATTACAAGTGTATTACAAAATATGTATACAAGGTGTAAGTGTAAACACACACCGTTGTCACTAAAACCATACGTAGTTGGCTTTAATATAAAAATATTTATCCGAATTCTAAAAAAAAACCTATTATCTTTCATAAAATTTAAGAGGTTTCTGTCCGAAACCGTCCGTAAATTCATGTATACCATATGCGCCCGGGTGACGTAATAACTGTAAAGATCACCGCCCACGCTAGCTACCTACACTATATTCCAATAAAAACACAATAGGTTCACATAACCTGTGATATAACTTTTCCTTCATACTTTCACCCTGGCTTAGGACAGGCAAAATTGAGGAATTAAAGAAAAATTGAGATTTTACTAAAAAAAAATGTTGTTATATTTCATTGAATTTACGTTCTATAAGTGAAACCAAACCACTGGTTTCAAGGATAACGGTGTTTACACTAACGCCCTGTGTATAAAATATGTATGACAGAAAATAATAAAGTAATTACATGTTCATTTGGCAAATGTTTGAGTTTTTACCAGTTAGTTGAGGACCACGCTCTCACAGAATACCAGCGTAAAATACCAGCTTAATACTGCTGTGTTTCGTATGGTGAACGTAGAAATCCGGAGACCCTTTTTACTGGAAATGAGGCATCCCCTCTTGGTCCTCAGGTGTGACAACGTATCTGTGTTTTAATTCTTAAGCGAGGATAAATGTAGATGTCTATGGGCCACAGCATCCACTTACCATCGGTAGACTGTGTGCTCGTTTGTCACCCTTATTCTATAAAACATATTTTTATTTAATATCGATAATAAAACCTTATCTGCTAAAAAAAGCAATGATGATGATGATGATCAATTATTCTATTTTGGTTTATTAAATTATACAGATTTTAAATTTAAATAGCATACAGATTTAATACAGATTTTAGCAGTGTCTAATACAGATAAAAGGTTCAAGACATCTGGCAACACTGAGAGAAACTGACGTCAAATAAGCTAAGCTAAAAGTCTGCCAAATTTTAAAAATTGTTTTAAATATTAGTGCTAAGTAGTATAAAATGAACTAAAGCTTACGTATTCGTTTAATAAAAAATATAGACGTTTTGTAGTAACACTTTTTCTAATCTTATTTCATATTCGTGCTTGTAATTACTATGCAAGTGAATAAGGCTCTCTTGGCAAGTTCTGTTGTGTTCTCAATAATTTCAAAACCAACCTATAAAAAAGTAAACTACGTATATAATGTGAGTTATTATTTTTATGTGATTTTTTGTGCTCTAATATTCCTGTATATTAATAAAACATCTTATTTTCTCACTACTTAGTAGAGGTAATACCAACAAAACAAAACCGTAGTGTTTTGCTGTTTTGTAAACAAAACCTAATGACTCCATATTTCAAAAGGTATTGAAACGAAGGATTCTGTTGATGGAGTTAACTAAATTAATAAGTTCATTTGAACATTTAAATACAATAAGGGACAGTTTCAATTTGCATTTTGTACTTGTAATATCTCTCTCTTCAAATATCATGTATTTGGTAAATAGGCGCTTAAAATTTCCAATAACAATAAATTTTACAAAATATAATTAATGGATTATATAATAGAATATGTAAAGTAAATTTTTGATATAATTACTTATTATTGTTGCTTTGTATGTCTATCATACTTAGTTTTGATGGCTATGATAGACATAATAAGTAACAAGTGTTAAAATTAAAAATTTTGCGCAACCAACTTCAATATAAATAAAATACAAACATCATCGATGTAATTGAAATCAATTGAATATGCATTATGAAGCATAACTCACAAGCTACTGACCTGAGATTTGCAACAAATATTCGGATACTATTTAGCTGAATACCGAATACTTGAGCAAGAGGTTTTGTTGTGGTCAGATAACTAGTAAATTAAAAATATTTATTTATTTTATAATGATGTATTTATGTTATAATCATTAAAGTCGTAAAGGCTATAAGTCGCTTGTGTCCCGTAGGCTTCGACCACCCAATTCTAGGCCCACCCTACACATGTCCCCCGTGCGGTGCCAAATTAGTGACAAGCTGAAAGTATAGACTCGGTTACTTGCCGTGTGGTAGCGGCATAAAATGGGTTGTAATTTATAATCTTTTGGCAGCAATTTTGGAGAGTAAGGTGTTTTATTTGGTAAAGGTTTGGTCCCCGATTATAATAATACTACTCCCATTAAAAGGTAATGCACCGTTCTTGAGAAAAATCGAAAAGAAAATCCCATAGAACTAACCTCAAAATGAATTAAGGGGTTGAGAGGTGGTGGAGAGGGAGGCGGGGGGAGTTGTAGAGTCGCCCCCCAACTTTCACATCCTGCCGGACATGCTTAGTTTTTTTTTTATAAATTTTTAAAAATCTAACTTTGAGGTTATGTTTTTGTAATGTTTTTGACTATAAACCTGATTTATGTGGGGAGAGAGTTGGAGGAGGGAAGCACCACGTAGCGCAGTCGAGGGAAGGCTGGTCGACGGAGACGGATTTACTACGACGAGCGGGGCTGCTCTCACTCCGCACCTACGGCTTTGCAAAAACACTTTAGGGGCAGACAAGACTACGTGGATTCGAGACGTGCTGATATAAATTTGGTACAGATTCAAACAGATCAGATATCTATAGTCGGGTTGCTTTTGCTCCCGCCACAGACACAAAACTCTGTATGCTATCCAGCTTTCACAGTAATATCATATAATTTTTTCTTAGAAGGGCTAGAACCCAGAGCCGTAAAGTCAGTTAATAACAAAAAATGTATCATTTTCCATACTTTACGTATTTTAGGTTATAATAGTTTTTATTTATTTTTTCGATAACGGTGAATTACCTTTTAATGTGAGTGAGGTAAAACACCTTACTCTCCCAAATTCCTGCCAAAGTATTCTAAATCCAACCCATAAAATGTACCACCTCATAGTTTTGCACCATGAGGCACCAGAGAAAAAAAATATCCCCGAGTCCACGGCGCCCCTTTAATGGGGCAGGGGTGCGAAAACTCTCCGCTAGAAAAACCGGCAACAAGGTCTGTCACCTATCACATTCTGTTTCCAGGAGGGGCAAAAAGTGGATTTCAAAAGCCCATCTGGCAACGCTGAATGTATGTGGGGCAATGAATGAATGATAAGATGGATGAAGTATGTGATATTATGTATGATAGAGGAATGGATGTGTTATGTATAAATGAGACGAAAGGGAAAGAAAAGAATGTCACTACATATGGCATATGTACCGCATACTGGTCTGGTGTAGACGAGACTGAGCAGGCATGCCAAGGAGTAGGTATCATCCTTTCAGAAAGAATGGGTCAATCTATGAAAGAATGTATGAATGTGTAAGCCCAAGACTGCTATGGATACGAATGAAAGTGGGCTTAAAGAAGTTGTTTGTGCTATAGATCTACACCCTAGACATGTCTAAGTCCACTTATATCCTAGAGCAGTTTTGGGAAATGGTAAGGATGCTGTTAAAACAGAAAGGTTACAAGATGAAGGTGAGAAAAAAACACAAATGTGGACTGAAGGAAAGTAAAAGTGGTATGAATGAATTATGTATGAATGAGTTAGACTAGATATGGACGATATGAATGACAAGCTCGTGGAAACTGTCCATGCGGTCGGAGCTAAGTTCTGCAAGACCCGCCGCAGAAGAACACAAAAACTCTCCAATCACATTCTTAATCTCATGGCTGTTAGACGGGAGATGAGGCTGCAATCGTCAACAGATTTGACAGCATACAGGTAACTGAACAGACAGATCTCCAAATGCATGCGGCGAGACTTACGCAACTTTAATACTGCTCGTACTGTCAAAGCTGAAGACTGAGTGTGGCAGCATCGTTTCTGGGACACCTGAGATTTTGAGTGATATTGAGAGGTTCTATGGGCAGCTGTACACATCATCGTTGGAGCCACACGCAAGTGTGAGTAACGATCCAAGAGCAAGTCTTATCTGACACTATTCCGATGATATCCCGAACGTCAGTCTAAGCGAGATTAGAATGGCTATCCAGCACCTTAAAAACGGCAGGGCCCCAGGCGAGGATGGAATTACAGCGGAGCTTCTGAAAGCGGGTGGAACACCGGTACTTGAAGTCCTTCAGAAGCTCTTCAATTCCGTCCTCCATGGTGGCACTACTCCGGAGGCGTGGAGCAGAAGTGCGGTGGTCTTGTTCTTTAAAGTGACTCTAGTCGACATTATTTCCATAGAAATTTCGGAGGGGTTTTACTCCGCTGTTTGACAGTGTACATCCAAAGTTAAACATGATATCGTTTTGTCTCATTATTAATTTTGTCTGTACCGAAACAGAATAGTAAAATAAAAAGTCAGTAAAAAGTTACGAGCTACCAAAGATTCGTTTTTATTGCCAATTTTAACACAACTTTGGGCGTAAATTAGTAATAAAAGCAGTGTAAAATTTCCAAAACAAAGTCGGTACCGACACAGCTCAATTATCGAAGAATTCAATAAATTTTATTGGTAATTGATTCATGCAGTGGTTTTTTCGTAAAACCCCTCCTTCCCCTTTTCGTATTTTTTTACGCGCGCGTGTTTATGTGAATTATCGTGCATCTCACTGAATAATGTTTCCCCCCCCGGTGCGGTGCGGGAGGACGACACTTACACACACATGCATGCGCGGTGACGCGCGCTTATTCTAGTTTTATTTTATTTTATTATAATATAGACTCAGTCAGCTGCGGCCTGTGACGTGTGTATGACTATAGCTATACCTGCGCTCTAAATTACTACGCTACATTGACCCCTGCTTGTACTTTGGATTAAATTAATTTATATAAGCACAGACAAAAATATAGGAATATATAAATAAAATTTTGAAAAAAAAAAAACGATCTCAAAATTTTATTAATGTTCCGCTAATTTTATCTGTACTTACCTATGTCAATTTGATTTACATTCGATTATAATTATATTCTCAGACGTGCAGGTTTCCTCAATATGTTTTCCTTCACCGCCGAGCACGTGGTAAATCAGCACAATTGCAATTAACAATTTCATTGGTACCGGCGGGGATCGAACTCGGGTCTGCATGTCTGAGAAATTAAAAAATATATATTTCGAAGAAATGTGAAGTTCGTCAACACGCATTGAGGCAGCGTGGCGGACATTTCCTTGCCTTAAAACCCTCTCAGAAATTAGAGGAGGCCTGTGCCCAGCAGTGGGACGTATATAGGCTGTAACTTTACTTTTTTTTTTATTTTTATAAATATGTTATTTTACCGACGAAAATTTTAAAGAAAAATAAAAAATAAGCAACCGACAACCTCCTAGGTCCCTAGGTGACTTGCGAGATGTCAGTGTAACAAAACAAAACGGCCCAGAAAAACAGACTTTCCAACTGATAGATAAATCAGCACGCAACAATTTCATTGGTGCCAGTGGGGTTCGAACCCGGGTTGCTCCCGTACTGTGATACCTATAACGAGCGTTAACCATGTGAGCTACCACGGCTCTCAACGACATCGTTCCGTTCGTGTACAGCGCTGAAGATAGCAGAGTAAAAATGTGTTTTGTGTTTGAAATTTTACATATAATAATTTACCTCGAAATTCACTATACGCGATTATCGTTTATTGATTATATTATGTTGTTTAAAAAGTATTCCTATCATCTTTTTGTTAAATGGATGCTAAATATAAAAGAATGCTTCAATATTGATAGCAATTTATAAACGAAATATCTGTTGAGATGTGTCTACAAGTTATTAATACTTATTTTTATTTATTTATTAAAATAATAAATAAATAAAAATAAGTATACATTTATCTATATTGAGTACTAGTTTTTCCCCGCGATCTCGCCCGCGTGGAATATGGATTTCATGGGTTTTAATTTTTTTTGCGCGGAACCCTAATTCTTTTTCTAAAAGAAAAGTAGTTCAAGTTATTCCTTATATCATCAGCTATCTGCCAGTGAAAGTCCCGTCAAAATAGATCCAGCTGTTTCGGAGATTAGCTGGAACAAACAGACAGACAGACAGACCGACAGACAGACAAAAATAGTACTTTCATATGCATTTAATAAAAAGCTGTTATTTTAACATTACAAACAGACACTTCAATTTTATTTATTTGTGGATATAGATATAAGATATTATTCATATTGGTGTCATTTTAAAGGGAATATCATGTACTATTATAATAATAAAATAATTGTCTCCAGTAAATATTATACTTTTCTTGTAAAACTCGAAATAAGTAA